CTTTTATCATGAATAAATCGAGAATGTTGATTATTCGAGAAAAGTAGGTTATTGAACATTTAAAGTGTAGTATACATTTATACTTTCAACGCGGTTTACGTTGATGGATGTTTTCACATTACTATACATTTGTTGTGCGCTGTTCCTGACCGTATTTGGATAACTAAATTCGAAGCGTTAGATATGTGCGAGCGTTTGCGCAAAATTCGACCGTCTGATTGCTCGAGATTTTCAAACTCTCCGAGAGCGTGAGGGAACAACGATAAATTTAATCAATATCACTTGGCTAATTTTTAACAAATTTGCAGTTCGAGGCACGACGAAAAAAATGAAAAATTATGGGAAATATATATTTGCCGGAGTGTAACGTGTCGTAGATCTCGCAGATATCTAGGAGAAGCGAAACAATTATCGAGAAATGTGTCTGGGGGTACCGGGTATGAAACTTGAACATGTTCAGCCTAATAGGCGTAAAGTACGCGTCACAGAAACGGCAAGACGTTTCACAAATGAAATTCAGATGTTTCTTGGATAAATTGCGTTCAATTTGAGGTAATCGTTTGAGAGCTGGAGTTTCGGCAAATATTAATAAAAATCAGGATGAGAGACAATGATCGTGTACAACGCAAGTATGTTGACTATGATAAAGTTCGATATCTTTTTTAAAAGTATTCTACGAGAACACGAGCATTTCTCACGGACATTTTAATCTCATCTATAAAAAAAAAAAAAAAAAAAAAAAACGGAGAGAGAATTATCAAATGACAAATAAACGAATTTCGAGTATATTCACGTCATTGGTGTCGTTCCATGCTGAATCATCGACCACAGTTGGTCAAATTGCAATCGTAATTATCGACGGCCGGCAATGTCGATTTCATTATCTAATTCCTGGATTAATCGGCGTGTGATCACTAGATGGCGAGATTAGGTGGAACACGCTTCGCAAATACCGGGAACTTGAAACAAAGCTTGGTTGCCATCTCGAAAGGAAACAAAGTGAAACAAAAAGTAAGGGAGAAATTGTACCTTGGTTGTTTTCGTTCGATGATCGAAATTCTATTTAAGAAAGAAGTATACTGTTGCAATATATCGATTCCCTGCTGCGGAGAAACTCGCAATACGAAAAATAACTTTCCGACTATTATTTTTCCGGAATTTCATTACAAAGTGCTGTTTGTCGAGAGAGGAGAACGGGCGTTCAAAGTTTACAACGATCGATCTACGAAACGAAACGGAAGGAAGCTCTGGTCATTTCGATGTGTTTGTTGAAGTTGTGCTCGCTCGAATCCATACGAGTAATATGAATCTCGTGTGGATATAAATGTACAATAGTTCCCAATTAAGCGTCCACAATTCGGGACCGAATAACTAGATGCCTAAATGGGGAAATGTGTTCTACAATTGGCATTAAAGAAAAGGTATGACACCGATATATATATATATATATATAT